GGGCAAGCAAGGGGTAAAAATTCACCCATCTCCCCCAGGAACCCCAAGGTTGAGACCTTCCAAACCCTAGCCCCAGCTGCCCTTGGGTTTTGGAGAATCATTTACAGCTGACTTAAATCTATATCCTGCCCTTCTATGTGACTTCGGCCCCTGAGTGTACAGCCTACAGGACATCTGCAAATTTAGTTCATTGTCCCCCCCACCCCCCAGGTCTACCCTCTAAGTTTTAACGTGGACTTCTACATCTAGTTGGGTTCCCTATGGGGAGCTGGAAGATGCTTCTGGAGTGATACATGAACTCCAGTGCCAGTTCTATAAATTGGTCTCTTTTTATGACGTGTGCCATTTTCTGTAGGAATGTTGCTTGCAAAACGAGTTGCGCCTTGGAGGAAAGGCGGAAAGATAAACAAGCCTGTAACGCCAAAACACTGGCAGTCTTTCCCTCCTTCCAGCTCTCTTAAAGCAGCCGGGCTGTATTTCCAGGATTAGACTTGTGCTTGTGAGGAGGGACTCGGGTTGGCTTTTTTTTTTTTTCCCCTAAGCAAATGCAAATTAGAGAAAAATAATTTTCTTTCAACGATATGCAATGTATTAGTCACTTGTTATCGTGCTCCGAGGCAGGCCTCATTTGCGCGTCTGCCAGCTCGCTCACATCTGCTCGGCGCTGTTCGGGGCATTTTAACCTTGGCGGTGTCGTGTCTAGTCCCACGGATCAAGGAGGAGTAATTAAGCTCTGAACAGCTACAAAAATTCATGGGCCCCCGTCTATACTGCAGTTGTTCCATGGCTTTGTTTTGGGTGCTCTGAGTTCCAAGGCTGAGTAGCAGACATGGGATTCCTATTGTTCCTTGTAAAGAAAAGTGGGTGCCCCTCTCTTCCTCTTACCTTCCTTCCTATCCTTCCTGGGACTCCCAGGCTCTGCACAATCAGCAAGGAACTCGCAGGACCTCCGCATTTTACCCATCTTTTAAGTGTTAAAAGTTCCTTTGTGCTTCCTACATAGAGTAATGATAGCTGTTATTAGCCTCACGGTATACTTGTTCCTTTGTGTGTGTGTGTGGGGGGGGCGAGGCGGCATTAAATGTGTTTAATTCCTGCAAAGCCCTGGTGGAAACAAAAATGCGTTGACACGGCCTTCAGATGGTGTGGAACATTTATTCTGGATTTGCCCCCAGGTTGTGTAGACTCCCAAGTCTGTGGGGACTAAACCGAAGGAGGCATGTGGGTTTTTTGGGGGGGGAGGGAGGGGAAGAGTGAGGGGGTATTCCTGGCTTTCTATTTAGGTTTCTGGTGCTGGGTGGCCTCCCGTGGAGGGACACCTGTTTCCAAATTCACCCAATCTTGAATACATACGCGGTTCCTGACTCCTGGTGTAGCACAACTCTGGAGGAAAGTGAAAGGAACAAAAAGCTACCCGGTGGCCTGGACTGGCCGTCCAGGGACAATGTGAAGTGTCCATTGGTCTGTGAGCTGGGAGAGGCGGGGGCTCCTGACCCGGGGGGCTGTGGCTCTGTCTGGAGGAGAGGGGTGCGTGGTGGCAACCGGGTAGAGGAGTCACTTTGAGCAGTGACTGGCAGGTCGGATAGATGCCCCACCCCCACCCCACCCAGAACCCCCCGGGGCCGGCCGGCCACGCCCCCTTCACAGTCTGCTGCCTTCGCCTCACTTCTTTCCCGGGCGTCCAGAGGAGCAGCACTCTAGTGTGGTCGGAATGGAGCCCAGAACTACGTGAGGAAGGGTCTGAAGTGCCGATTCCTTGTGAGGAAGGGTCCGAGGCGCCCATTCCCCGTGAGGAAGAGTCTGAGGGGCCGATTCCCCGTGAGAAGGGTCCGAGGGGTCCATTCCCCGTGAGGAAGGGTCCGAGGCGCCGATTCCTCGTGAGGAAGGGTCTGAGGGGCCGATTCCCCGTGAGAAGGGTCCGAGGGGTTCATTCCCCGTGAGAAGGGTCCGAGGCGCCCACTCCCCGTGAGGAAGGGTCCGAGGCGCCCACTCCCCGTGAGGAAGGGTCCGAGGCGCCCACTCCCCGTGAGGAAGGGTCCGAGGGGTTCATTCCCCGTGAGAAGGGTCCGAGGCGCCCACTCCCCGTGAGGAAGGGTCCGAGGGGCCGATTCCCCGCGAGGAAGGGTCCGAGGCGCCCACTCCCCGTGAGAAGGGTCCGAGGCGCCCATTCCCCGTGAGGAAGGGTCCGAGGGGCCCATTCCCCGTGAGGAAGGGTCCGAGGGGTTCATTCCCCGTGAGAAGGGTCCGAGGTGCCCACTCCCCGTGAGGAAGGGTCCGAGGGGTTCATTCCCCGTGAGAAGGGTCCGAGGCGCCCACTCCCCGTGAGGAAGGGTCCGAGGCGCCCATTCCCCGTGAGGAAGGGTCCGAGGGGCCCATTCCCCGTGAGGAAGGGTCCGAGGCGCCCACTCCCCGTGAGGAAGGGTCCGAGGCGCCCACTCCCCGTGAGAAGGGTCCGAGGCGCCCACTCCCCGTGAGGAAGGGTCCGAGGCGCCCACTCCCCGTGAGGAAGGGTCTGAGGTGCCCATTGCCCGGGTGAGCTTGGCCGCATTTGCCTGGAAGTTTCAGGTTCTCCCTGGTTCTCCCTGCACCCACCCAAAGTTTCTTTTTGTCAGAGATTCGGTGGCGGGGACAGAAGTTGTGGCTAGGGCTCTGGAAGGGGGACCACAGAGGAACGCGCTAGGCCCCAGAGTCTGAGGGGTTAACTAGGGTCGGGGACTGGGGAGGCAGGCCGCCTCCGGGGACACTGCTGGAGTTCCTGGAAGGCGGCCGTGAGGAGGGTGTGGGTGTGTTCTGAGGCGCAGCGGGGCGCTGGGCGCTGGGACCTCGGGAGGAGCGCGAGCAGGGGAGCAGGGGCGGGCGAGCCGGGAGCAGCACGGGTGTGTGTGGTGGGAGAGAAAATCCCTTTGTTGCGTCGGCTCGCACTCTGGGGCTCAGGCTCCTCAGCCCCTTTCTTCCCCACAGAGCGGTGCAGCCACTGAGGGCCAAGTTCATTCCCAGGGCTGGGTGGCTCTGGGCTCTGACCCAGATGCCCCAGGAGCAGGCAGGAAAGGTTCTGGGTGCTAAAAGGCCGGGGCTGGGCGAGTTTCCCGTCTCCCTTCCCCCCTCTCGTTACTAATACAAAACTTGGGGGCGTGGGTGGGGACGTCCCTAGAGGAGATGGCTGTGGCTTGGAGTGTGCCCAGAGACAGCACCTGGGCCTGCTGGATCGCTCCCCCCCCCCTTCCAGCAACCCCAACCCCCCTCTTCCAGCAACGGCGGTGGGGGGGGGCGAGGGGGAAGGGTGGGGGGAGTGGTAGGGGGGTAGGTAGGGACTTGTTGGGACCAGGCCAGTGACCTCCCTGCACCACACTCCTGGAAACCTGCAGCCCTGCTGGCTCAGGACCTGGGGGGCAGCCTTGGAGTCTCCTACTCCCCAGCTACATAACACCCCAAAAGCAGCCCAGGAGGACCCTCCCACATACACACACTGCACATCTGGAAGAGCTTTTCCTTCTCATCTCCTACCCCCACACAGCCCCCCCATCCTAAAATAGGAACTTCTTCACCCCTCCCTTCCTTGACACTAGGAACACAGCGCTGCTGTGACTCAATCTGTGTTTGGAGCAGCCCCGGGAAGGGCTGGCTGGTGTGGTTTGCTTTGGGCTTCTGTGAAATCTGCACAGCTCTGCTGAAGGTCACCCCTTCCTGGCTTGGCCCCTTCTGTGCCCCTACCTCAGCCTCCTCCCCACCGTGGGGTGGTGCTACTTCTAAGGAACTATGTAGCCTTCTGGGGCTTGTATGTTTAGTAGAGTCAGATGCTATTTAATGGGGTTAAGTGTGGCCAGCACCAGCTATTGCCAGGCAAAACTCAAGTCCACAGTGCAGCTTAATCCTCTAGAAAAGAGTGCCAAATATTTACAGAGGGGACCAAGGTTGGAGAGGTTCAGCCACCTGCCCAGAGACATGGTGTGGATTGAGGGTGTGACCTGGGAGGCTGTGGTGACCATGTTCTTCCTGCATGTTCTCTGTAGGGAACCAGCCATGCAATAGCAAGACGCTTTACCTGAAGAGGACCCCAGCACACTAGCTAGAATCCCTGATGCCTGTCTGGTCATGTGAGCCGGAAGTCCTTGCAAACCTGTCCGGTCTTCCTGGCCACTAGCTGGATAACTGCCTGGCGGGCCAAGGGGAGCCTAGTGAGAGGGAAACCACCCCCCCCAGCAAACCTAGAGGAACTTAGAAAACATCCTAAGATGAGCCACCATCAATGTCTGTGAGGAGAGCAGGGAGGCATGAGTTGGTTTGGTGGCTATGCTTTCCATATCGTGGCTACCACTTGACAAGTGTAATGTGCAGACTTGAACCGATTGCCACTTCAAGAGCAGTGGCAGTCTAAAGTGGCCTGGTGCTCTCTCCCCTCCCTTCACGCACCTCCAGCCTCTCTTGTGGCTGCTGTTCCTTCCTTTCAACCTGCTATTTGTTGTCTGCAAGAGTAAATCGCCTTTAGAGAAAAAATAAGTGTTCTTTCCTTTCCCTCAGTCCACAGTGGTGTCCTTGTAGTCAGAATTAGGGAAATGGTGGCAGTGGGTGCTTGGGGCCCTTAGTGCCCCCTGACGTCTTTTCACAGAGGGCAGCTGTGCCCCTACTCAGGGATGCCAAGGTTGGAGTGATAGCTCCTAACCCTGGTCCCTTGAACCCCTTCTGTCAATCAGGCCTTTCTTCCCAGTGCCCAGACCAAGCCCAGGTACTCTAATCATAACCCTTGGGTCTGGAGCAAATGACTGCTCAGAGTCTATTGAGGGTGACCCAAGCTCTATTTCAATTATTACCACACTAAGAGCTGGAGACCACGCCAGGTCTCTCTCCTCAAAACTGGGTGTTTAGCAGGCAGCCACTCCAGTTCCCAGTCTGCCCTTTAGAAACCACACACCCTCCCCGTCTGACCTCTTGTCAGCCATCTTTCCTCTTCATCCCTATCCCACATCCTTGCCTACTTCTCTCCACTACTAGAAAAAAGGGTTAAAACCCAGAGCCAAGGTGCAGCTTAGCAGCTCACGCTGGAAACAGGTTGGTGCTTGTAAAGTGCTTTTCATGAGTGACTTCACACATCTTGGCACTTCTAGAGGCATAGCCTGCATGTGGAAGAAGGGGGGGTGTGCTGAAAAATAAGAGCAAACGAGCCTCATATATAGCTGCAAAGCGCCTTGAGGTGGTGTTTGTCATTGAAATCAGATGATCTTGCCCTCTCCACCATGTCCTGCTGCCAAGGGTCAGCAAAGTCAGTTTCGAAGCACTTTGCCTTAGAGGTAGAAAAAGATCCCAGCTATTTCAACAGCAGCTTCTAGAAGTGGGGTGGGATGAGTGTCGCTATAGCTCTGCCTCTCAGTCTCTTTGTTTCTTACCCCAAAGTCCCCTTCGTTGTAGATCCCAGAGAAACCAGGGTGGGGGTGTGGGTAATGGTAATCCCTGTTCTTCACTAATGGCTTGATGTAAGCAGTATGGCCTTTGCTGAGGATGTTTCAGCTGGGGGCTTGGGCTGCTCTTGCTTGTCACCCAGGAGAAGGGCCTCTTGCCAGGCGGGGCCATTGCTCATTGGCCCCTTCCACTCCGCTCCATCTTTGGCCAGGAACCTGAAGAGTTAAAAGTCTTTAGCTTGTTGCAATGAAATTATGGCTGGCAGTGGCGCCGCTGTTTGTTCAACAGACCTCCACTTTTAAACAGTTCACAAGAAGTTCATGGGGCAGCTAAAGATTATAAGAAGTGTGTGTGTGTGTGTGTAGTCCAAAGCAGGATCCAACAATGTGTACCCCTCTTTTGCTTTTTTATGTTTAGCCCCAACCCCGCCCCCCAATATACACACAAATAACACTGAAACGCACTCCTGGCCTCCACCCTCCATCTGACCCTGTGCATGTGAGAGCACTTCACTCTGATGGCTGGTGTCATTTATCTGTGCAGCATTAATATTGAAAGCCCCGAAGGACGAGCCCTGGTGAAGGGGAGAAGCTTTGAACGCACCCAGTGGTCCCAGGTGCCTCTAAGCTACAGTCACCTTTCTGCTAAGTCCAGGCCCTTTTTACAAGGTGACTCTTAAAAGGAGGTATTGTAGGGGGCAGCTTGTTTGAAACAAGGGGAGACAATTTTTATTAATAAGAATGGGGACACGAGAAGATTAAGGTTCCTTAGGCACATGCTTCTTCCCTCATCCTTTTCTTGGGGGTTTGATTGAGTGATCCTTTTACTCCTGATGTAATTTCCTCATTTTATCGTGGTGTGAACAGTGAGGGGATGAAGCCCGATGACATACCGGCACCAAGGAATGTGTTTTCTATCAGGCTACCCAGAATGTCTTCCTTTTGTTAGAAGGGGTGGCAAGGACTGGGGAGGGGACACTGCCTTGAATGTGCTTTGTGGTCTGCCCAGCACTAGTGGTGGCCTTCCCCGCTTAATTTATAAATTTGGAGGATGGAAGAAAAGCCCATGGGCTCCAAAGAACCTTCCCCAACACCCGAGTCAGTCTTTTTGGGGTGCCATGGTTAGCCCATTGGAAACACCCGGGCTGTCTGAAGAAAGACTCTTCCTAGGGAAATAGCTTTTCAGAAGCCCACCATGCCTGATGCATCTCTGCAGATTTCTGCCTCTTTCTCAGGCGCTTTCCTTCTCTTCCAGCTTCATTGTTGAGCTCTAACTATGCGTGGTGTGTCGGTGCGTGTGGATTTTGATTAACAGACGTTGTTCTATGGATGGGGGCCGATGGGGGATGCTGGTGGACAAAAGACCTAGTTAGGACAAAGAAATGGGCAGGGAGAGCCTGGCTTTTGGATTCAGTCCTCCCAGGTGCTCCCCCACCCCCACCCTCAGTCACTTCTGCAGAAGAGTCGCTGGACCTGGTGCCTCCAGCCCAACCGACCTGGCAGTCTGCTCCGTGTGCTAAAGTGTAAAAGCAAGCATTTGCATATTTTTTTCCTGCTAACAAAGGAAATGTGTCGACTTAGGGAACATTTGGGCTTGCGGAAACTGTGTGGGTGGGTGTGTGAGGGAGGAGAAAGAAAAGTTCCCCTGATGATCTGCACACCAATTATTTCACACCCAGTTTTGGGTCCCGTGGAAAAATGCCGTGGCCGGTCCTGGACAGGGGGGCTGAGATGTGTTTGTGAGCAGGGAATTGCCTAGGGCCATCGGTCCCAGGCATTAAAGGCTCCCCTACTTATTAACCCAGCATTTAACAGCAGGATACGGGCTGAAGCGCAGTCAAAAGAAACGGCTCAACCTCCAAAGAGCAATTAAAATCCTGCACGAGGATAAATCACGCGCCGTGATAATCCTGTTAATAAAATGCAGCTTGTCCTGACCCTTCACTCATGCAGCAAACTAGAATGTGATGTGGGTGGGGGCGGTGGGCAGAGGAGGTAAGGGAGGGTGGGAGGTGGTCTGGGCTCCTCTGCCTCGGCAGCCTCCCCCTCCCAGGAGGTGGAAAATGGGTGGCTTTTGCCCGCTCCCCGTGTGTGCCAGCGGCTTGGAGCCCATCAGCCTGGGCTGCTAAGACTTCTGCACTCGCTAATGATTTCTTGTCCCCAGCGAGCAGGCGTCATTGAATTACTCAGCCGCCTCCCTCTGCAGCTCCCAGGCAAAACCACCCAGGCAAAACCACCCGGGTTAGGTGCTTAATCTAATCTAGGGCTCGGGTGGGGCGGCTCACCAGCCCACCAACTCTTTTTCGCCTTCAATCTCTAAGTTGTACACATGACAGCCTTGGAAATTCAGCCCTAGTTTGAGCCCTAGACCTGCTGCCACACCTCACTCTTGTGTCTTCCACCATCCTTGCACCCTTTTGTCCCAAGAAGGAGCAGTTTGTGCTTCCCAGTGATTCAGCACCCCTGGACCTATTGCCGTAGTCTCCCCTTGAATAAAGTCTTCCCTGCCTTCTTTAGCAAGTGTCAGGAGTGATTCGTTTTTTCCTGACCACCATACACTTTCGAAGGCTGGGAAAGGGGGCAGGCAGGCACGCACAGTGGTACACCTTGGATGTGTGCTGTGCCTTGGATAGGGCTGCCTGTTTCACTTTGAACTTTTCCCCACCCCCAGTGCCTCCTACTGGGGAAACTGCACCCCCCTCTGCTCTACATGTTGTACATTCGGGTCCAATGTGCCCTCAGCTCCTGGATATCTGTAGACATCAAGCACAGCCTGCCTTCTCGAGTCTGCCTCCTGTACAAATTGCCTAGAAAGAGGCCTTCTGGAGCTCCCTGCTTGGCCTTCTTTTACTCAACCTCGTGGGGTTTTTTTTTTCTTTTCAACAGACTAGACGCTTGAAGCAAAGCTGCCATCCCAGAAGACGACATGCTCTCAGCAACCCCCCTGTATGGGAACGTTCACAGCTGGATGAACAGCGAGAGGGTCCGCATGTGTGGGGCAAGCGAAGACAGGTGAATGTGGCCACCTGAGCCAGGCTTGAGGCGAGAGAGCTGGCCTCTTCCCCCGAGCTCCTGAGTAGAGCCCACACCAAAGCCCCCCTCACCTTCTCACAGCCACAGTGGCCCAAAGAGGGTGGGGGAGAAAGTTCCCGCCTAGGCGGCAGCCCTTGATTTACAGTTTTAACAGGCAACCCGGCTCAGCGAAGCATTGCCGCCCTTTAAAAGATTAGCCCCTAAAGCGGCCTTTCAGTGCACTTTCGTCTTTAATTTATTATTTCATATTTATGAAGGAGAATTAATCCCAGTCTATATGCTGCTTTAACTCTAAATGTCAGGAGCGTGGGCCCAGGTGGAGCGGCATTCCATGTGCTTTTAAAACAAATAGTTTGCTCAGTAATAAATGGGGAGAGAGCCACCCTTTCCTTCATTTAAGCCCAGGATTTCTCATTGTCCTCTGCTGCCTGTTCAGTGAGGCCATTGGCCCCTGATTTTAGTTGCCCAACAGCTATGTTGTGTTCCCTGGTCAGTAATTTTAGAGTGTGGGGTAGCGGCAGCTAAGCAGTAGATGATTGAAGCTGCTCTTCAGGGTAACGATGAAACTTTTCCTTTGCTGCTTGTCAGCAATTTTATCCTGGGGATTTGGAAGTTGGCACCAAGCACTTTCTTTATCGATGCTCTCTGATAACAAGTCCCAGGGCAGCCGCAGCAGCCTGGCACAGATGTGCAGCTTCCTCTTCAGCCTGGAACAGCTGACGTTTGTATGAAACTAGTGTGTATCCCCCTGTCATTTTGATAAAAGCAGTCAAATATGGCTTCCTTGTCACCATGGAAACCAGTTTCATAGGCCATGGTGTCTAACTTTGTTTTGGGAAAAGTTTTGAAAGCCTGCCCTCATGGGTAATACGGAAGTGGTTGATGAGGCGACCAGCTTGTAGACTCCAGCCTTCCAGTCCCCCTTGGCCATGTGACTACTTCATGTATACCCTCCAGTAGAGTTTATAAGGGTTGGCTGGGAAAGCTGAGCTCGGATCTGCCTACCTAGCCTCTCTAGAGAAAAAGATCTCATGGGGAGAAGTGGTTGTGCTTAATTTCTGGCTTACCCACCTTGGGGACATACTTGTGATTCATGTCACCACACATGAAAGGCCCTGCCTTTCCTTTGTTTTTTTCTGGTCAAGTTGAATCACCATTTGGGGGGCAACTTTCAATATGGGCCATTGTGGAGGGGGTTAAGGACAATTTAAAAAATTGGGTTAGTAGAAACTGGTTTGTTCTGGGAGATATATGAAAGATGGATTCAGTGAGGGATGCTTTCATGAAGTTGGTATGTCCTTTTAATAGGAAAATTCCTGTAAATGATGGTGACACTTCAAAAGCCAGACTGGAACTAAGGGAAGAGAATCCCTTGAACCACAACGTGGTAAGAGATTAATGGTTTCTGTTGATATGATATCTGAATATCAGTGATATGTAATCAATCATTAATTTGCATACCATGAAAGGGCGGGGGAGGAATGGGGGGTTCAGATCAGGGCAGAGGAAGGAGGAAGCCTGTGCTATAGGGCAAGGCCCCCTACCCAAGCTCTTCCTGTCTTGCCTTCTTGACGGCGCACTCGTTCTGATGTGCTTGCTGCATATGTCCCCATCTCCTAGTGACTGGTAGGTGACGTGCAGCGTTTTCTTCCATAAGCTACGTACCACATCAAGGCTCCCAGCTGGATAAATTTCCAGCTACCAAGTAGCCTCTTAGGGTTTACTTTTCCAGTAAAATATGAAACACAAGACTCTCTCTTCAGACACCGGGGAGAGGAAGTCAAAAGATGCAACCACAGTTTCACCCATGGCCTCTTTATTGATTTAGAAATGAGGCAGCTCAAGTCCTCTGTTCCTGATGTCCCACTGAAGATTGTGTCTTGTTCTGTTAGATAATACCTACCTACACCCAGGAAAAACAAAGTGAACACCCTTCCCCTGAACCCCTAACAGGCCTGGGGAGGGCTCATGTGAGTTCTGTACCCCATGAAAGTGGTACTAAGAGTTTTGGATTTGGTGTCTCCTCAGTTGCAGCAAACAAGTTTTGCTGAGAAGATAAAATTTCCAGAGTTATAAGGTGACTGAATTAATATATGGGCCTCCAGTCTAAAGGGATCAGTGTTTTCCATGCTTCCAGGTTACTAGGTGAACAGAGGTGAGAAGGCAGGCAAGCAAAGGGATTTGGATCAGTGGGGAGGGGCAACAAACAGAAGGAATTCTGTCTTTAACCCTTTCTGCTCGAACGTTAAGGCTGATGTCATGTGAACTAGTTTGTGGTGTCTCTTCGGGTTGGGTGCTGCTGCTTTGAAGGAGTGTCCCAAGTAACACCCTTGTTGTTCTTCTGCAAAGGTGGACGCAAATACTGCCCATCGGATTGATGGCCTGGCAGCACTGAGCATGGACCGCACCAGCCTGATCCGGGAAGGGCTCCGGGTCCCCGGAAACATCGTCTATTCTAGCTTGTGTGGACTGGGCTCAGAGAAAGGTCGGGAGGCTGCCACAAGCACTCTAGGCGGCCTTGGGTTTTCTTCAGAGAGAAATCCAGAGATGCAGTTCAAACCGAATACACCCGAGACAGTGGAGGCTTCTGCTGTCTCTGGAAAACCCCCAAATGGCTTCAGTGCTATATACAAAACACCGCCTGGAATACAAAAAAGTGCTGTAGCCACAGCAGAAACACTGGGCTTGGACAGGCCTTCCAGTGACAAACAGAGCCCTCTCAACATCAATGGTGCTAGTTACCTGCGGCTGCCCTGGGTCAATCCTTACATGGAGGGTGCCACGCCAGCCATCTACCCTTTCCTCGACTCGCCAAATAAGTATTCACTGAACATGTACAAGGCCTTGCTACCTCAGCAGTCCTACAGCTTGGCCCAGCCGCTGTATTCTCCAGTCTGCACCAACGGGGAGCGCTTTCTCTACCTGCCGCCACCTCACTACGTCAGTCCCCACATCCCGTCATCCTTGGCATCACCCATGAGGCTCTCAACGCCTTCCGCCTCCCCAGCCATCCCACCTCTTGTCCACTGCGCAGACAAAAGCCTCCCGTGGAAGATGGGTGTCAGTCCTGGGAACCCTGTTGATTCCCACGCCTATCCCCACATCCAGAACAGTAAACAGCCCAGGGTGCCCTCTGCTAAGGCGGTCACTAGTGGCCTGCCAGGGGACACAGCTCTCCTGTTGCCTCCCTCACCTCGGCCCTCACCCCGGGTCCACCTTCCCACGCAGCCTGCTGCAGATACCTACTCTGAGTTCCACAAGCACTATGCCAGGATCTCCACTTCTCCTTCAGTCACCTTGTCGAAGCCATACGTGACAGTCGGCAGCGAGTTCCCCACGGCCAGGCTCTCCAACGGCAAGTATCCCAAGGCTCCGGAAGGGGGCGAAAGTGCCCAGCCAGTGCCCGGGCACGCCCGGAAGACAGCTGTTCAAGACAGGAAAGATGGCGGCTCACCTCCTCTGTTGGAGAAGCAGACCATTACCAAAGACGTCACAGATAAACCACTGGACTTATCTTCTAAAGTGGTGGATGTAGATGCTTCCAAAGCTGATCACATGAAAAAGATGGCTCCCACAGTCCTGGTTCACAGCAGGGCTGGAAGCGGCTTAGTGCTCTCCGGAAGTGAGATTCCGAAGGAAACATTATCTCCTCCAGGAAATGGCTGTGCTATCTATAGATCTGAAATCATTAGCACTGCTCCCTCATCCTGGGTGGTGCCTGGGCCAAGTCCTAACGAAGAGAACAATGGCAAAAGCATGTCGCTGAAAAACAAAACTCTGGACTGGGCAATCCCACAGCAGCGGAGTTCATCATGTCCCCGAATGGGTGGCACGGATGCTGTGATCACTAATGTTTCAGGGTCAGTGTCAAGCGCAGGCCGCCCAGCCTCTGCGTCGCCAGCCCCGAATGCCAATGCAGATGGCACCAAGACCAGCAGGAGCTCCGTGGACACGACCCCATCCGTCATTCAGCACGTGGGCCAGCCCCCAACCACGCCTGCCAAGCACAGCAGCAGCACCAGCAGCAAGGGCACCAAAGCCAGCAACCCAGAACCGACTTTCAAAGCAAACGAGAATGGCCTCCCACCAAGCTCAATATTTCTGTCTCCAAATGAGGCATTCAGGTCCCCACCAATTCCCTACCCCAGGAGTTACCTCCCTTACCCAGCGCCTGAGGGCATTGCTATAAGTCCCCTCTCCTTACATGGCAAAGGACCTGTCTATCCTCACCCAGTTTTGTTACCCAACGGCAGTCTCTTTCCTGGGCACCTTGCCCCAAAGCCTGGACTGCCCTATGGGCTGCCCACCGGCCGGCCAGAGTTTGTGACCTACCAAGATGCCCTGGGCTTGGGCATGGTACATCCCATGTTAATACCACACACGCCCATAGAGATCGCTAAAGAGGAAAAACCAGAGAGGAGGTCCCGGTCCCATGAGAGAGCCCGCTATGAGGATCCAACCCTCCGGAATCGGTTTTCTGAGATCTTGGAAGCTGGCAGCACCAAGTTACATCCAGAAGTCCCCACCGACAAGAACCTAAAGCCAAACCCCAGCTGGAATCAAGGGAAGACTGTTGTCAAAAGCGACAAGCTTGTCTATGTAGACCTTCTCCGAGAAGAACCAGATGCTAAAACTGAGGCAAACGTGTCCAAACCTGGCTTCGTAGCGGAGAGTGTTAGCCAGAGTGCTGAGCCCGCCAAGCCCCCAGCTGACCCGGCCCTACAGCAACACCGTGATTTCATCACCCTGAGAGAGGAGTTGGGGCGCATCAGTGACTTCCACGAAGCTTATACTTTCAAACAGGCTCCAGGCCAGTCAGTCTTCAGCTTAAACAAAGACAATGTTCCGGCAGGTACCAACAAAGAGAACATAGGGATGCCAGTCTCAACTCCATTCCTGGAGCCAACTCTGGGGAGCGATGGCCCTACTGTAACTTTTGGTAAAACCCAAGAGGATCCCAAACCATTTTGCGTGGGTGGTACCCCACCAAGCGTGGATGTCACCCCCACCTATACCAAAGATGGAGCCGATGAGGCGGAATCAAATGATGGCAAAGTTCTGAAACCGAAGCCATCTAAGCTGGCAAAGAGAATCGCAAACTCGGCAGGTTACGTGGGTGACCGATTCAAGTGTGTCACTACTGAACTGTATGCAGATTCCAGTCAGCTCAGCCGGGAGCAGCGGGCATTGCAGGTGAGCCCGTGACCTGAATTTCAGTAACTTTCACTGGTTGTCAGTTTTTTAATGTGTAAAGAGGATTGGGGGAATATGGTAGAGTACCAGGCAGATTTGGTTAATGAAGTTTATGGTAATTTGAATGTATGCAATGTGTCCAGTAAGGGAACATAAGTGGTAGCACTTAGGTGTGTCTGGATACTTTAAGTTATTCTATAGATTATAAGAGAACTCCACTTGAATGGTGGTAACAGGAGTTTTAATTATTATGAAGGATGTCTAAAGACTGCATGACGTTTGCCTATCAAATGCTTTGATTTCTCTGCCTGTAAGATAAATATACCTAAAAGTGCTGCTTAGAATGCCTTACTTGATACTTGGTGGAGATGTGTAGCAGCCGCATGTCTGTGGGTTTCATACAATTTTTTTCACCAAAAAAAAAAAAAAAAAAACCAAACCAAAAAAAAGAGAAAAAAGCTTGCTTAAAGGGATAGAGTATGTATATAACTTGCTAGTGAATTATGATAGATGTTGTATAGGAATTTCCTTAAGATATTTTACTTTTAATTAAAAGATGAATAAAGCCAAATTGTTTTGCAATGTTAAGAAAAAAATTGGTTTATGCTTATAAAAATGGATGAAGTTATCTAAATGATCCATTGAGTGCCCATTTTAATTACATAGATGGAAGGATTACAAGAGGACAGTATTTTATGTCTACCCGCTGCTTACTGTGAGGTCAGTTCTTCAAATTTTTATTACTAGAATCTTACATAAACCTTTTGAGTTAAATTTCATTTCCAAATATACAAAGGGAAGTTTGTGGGCCATGGTCGTCTTTATTCATTGTGCATTTTGTTTCTTTTCTGTTGTGTTTTTGTTTTGTTTCCTTTGCGTTGTGTTTTTGTTTTGTTTTATTTACCTTCAAAAGAGAATGTCTGTCTCTATGCAATAGTGTATGTATGGATATACATACACACCGCATATATATCTTATACATATGACTTTTATGAATAAAGAATGTGTGACTACTTACATATAGATACTCTTAAATTTAATCTGTTAAACTTTAAAATATCTGAGTTGCATCTCATAAATTGTGGTTGGTTTTGGGCAAACTTTTCTTTGAAAATACTTTCCTTTAAGGTAAGGCAGACGAAGTAGCTTTTATGGTAAGGTGTTGTTTTTTTTCCATCTCCGTTCTCTTTCTAGCGTGCAATGATGCGCTTCTCAGAGTTGGAGATGAAAGAAAGAGAAGGTGGCCACCCAACAACCAAAGACTCCGAGGTGTGCAAATTCAGTCCAACCGACTGGGAAAGGTTGAAAGGAAATCAGGACAAAAAGCCAAAGTCAGTCGCCCTGGAGGAGGCCATTGCTGACCAGAACGAAAGTGAGAGATGTAAGTAAACCCGAGTGGCTTGCCAATGGTACCGTGTTGGTGAGAATGGGGCAGTCCTGCTCCCAGAGCCCAGGGACGTGAGAGAAAGCCATTCATTTAGGATGGCCTGAGGTCCAGTTGATGTCTTCTCGGAGAAATGGGCTGCTTTCGCCATCCATGGAGTGAAGGATTGATCGTCCTTTTGAACATCGTGGCAGCCAGGAATGAGCCATCTGTGAAAGATAATTTCCTGGGACACACCTTCTTTTCCAAAGAAACATTGGTCCCATAGCTAGTAACAGTCCAATATAGTGTAGCAGAGGAATGGCAGTAGGGAAGTTGTGTGGTAGGGTTGGGTTCTGTTTTGTAGCAGTGGGATGATACTTTGTAGACATTTCCTCCCCATCCCCAGAGTGACAGTCTGAAATGGAATGGAGAGTACTTATTCTCCTTCCGGAGGCACAGGTTCTTTTGAAGTGGGAGGAAAGATGGTGAAGGCACCATATAGATGAGCATAATCGTTTGCTGTGTCTGGTTTGTTTGCCATTGTTGGGACTTGGCAACAGAATCCAAGAAAGCTTGGCATACGTGAGGGGGGCTCTTCCCACCAGACAGATGGTGGCTTATGTTTTAGAGGGGAACGGTGGAGAGAAAGCTAGTGCCTTTCTCAGGACACTCTTCAGTCCCAACAGCTGGCCCCCCACTGGGGTTGACTTTTGGATTTGCCCATGAGACTTCCCTGGGGATAAGATGTGATGGCAGCAAGTAGAAAAGATGTTTCTCTTCATTTCTTAAATGTACATGCTTGAGGCCTGCTCTGGACCTCAGAAACCTCATCAGCAAAGGTGTCTGAGCGAACCAGAGGAAAGAGTAGGTGCAAATCCTTCTAAGACAGGACACTTAGAGATATTGGGTGCATTTGAGAGCTCTGTGCCATTGGCTGTCGTAGGTTTGGTGTTCCTGATACAGTTCATTGGCGCCTGATGGAGTTTGGGGGAGAATTTGTGGCCAGGAAAAGTGTGCTTCTTGCTGACCAGAGCACATTGCCCTACCACTACTCTCAGCTCATCCTTGGGGGTCAGACTAAGGCCACCAGCCAGGCTCCTGGGTAAGTTAAACCAGGACTGGCTTATTGTAAGTTAGTGGTAAACAAGATAGTTTCCATTGCTAGTAAATGGTGGTATTCTTGATGTACCTGAAGCTTCCTTACTCTATCTCAGAGGGTGGCTATGGGGGCAATGGAGGGTCCCTGTCATTTTTGGATAAAGCAAGAAAGAAAGCCTTCTTCCTCACTGATTGCTGCAGTCACACTGATTGCTACAGTCATGGAGCCCCCACTCCTCCCTTCTGAGTTGCCTCGTAACACTAGCTCTTGGGAAGGTTTCTCAGAGGTACCTAGGAGAAGCAGGCAAGGGTGAGTTGAGGGGAAAGTGCTTCTAGAAGAGGGGAGTTGCTGCATATGAGAGTCCCTCTTTGTTCTGAGTGGATGGTGAGCAGGGCTGGAGGAAGGAACAGGAGCTTAGCCAACTTCAAGTCGTCTTGTCTTTGCTCTGGTTTTTGAGTAACATGGACAGACCCAGAATGGCTACTGCCCTCCACTTCATGTCTAAGTAGCCTCATCCCTTCCTGCTTCCCAGACAAGTTCATGTCCTTCCCCGTCTTTCCTGCTGAACCTAGAGACAGGATGAGAGCAGGCCCTGAGCCCCAGATGATTCAGAAAGGCCTCCCTTCCCCCTCCCCTAAGCCCCTCCAAGCTTCAGACTAACAGGCTCTGTTCCTGGAGCACCCAGGACGGGGCCCAGCAAGCCACATGCTTATGTGTGATGAGTCACGGCAGAGAGAACAGAAGAAGGGTTGGGGAAGGTGAGGGCTCATTTTTAAAGACTGGGGCAAAGAAAGAGATGGGTCACCAATGGTTTCTGGTTGATGAAGAGGAATAGCCCAGAGGAATACTTGTCCTTGCTACTGCCCCCCTGCCATCTCGTCCAGGGGACAGCAGGTGCTAAATCCATTCAGCTGCAAATTAACTGGGCCCTCTTGGCCATCAGTCTGTCATGTGGGCTTAGGCCCTGCTCTGCATGGGTGTCACTGTGGCCAGGAGCCAAGCTGTGAGCATATGGGAGCTAGGGTGGGGATTTGGGGCAGGCAGGGGTCACAAAGAGGGTAGAGGACACCTCCTGGAAGCCTTCCCCCTTCTGAGGCAGCCCTCCGCTCCTGCAGCGCCAATAACTTCTGAGATGGCAGGTGCCTCTTGCATAGCCTCAGCCCCCCCAAGTGTGTGTGTGTCTCATTGAGAGGGGTTCATTTAAGAAAAATGAATTAACTTGAATTAATCTTGACCATGGTCAAGATTTTCATTCACTCTTTATGATAGTATGGGTGGCTGAGTTAAATTTTCACTTGAGAAGTTGAGCAGATGAATTGGGAGGCTCCTCAAACTCGAAAGTTTATTAATAGAAACCATCAGTGGTATTTTGAAGACAGGATAGATCAAGGAGGCATTACTTTTATTGATTGATTGATTGATTGATTGATTTTTGTTGATAGGTATTGGATGTACATATTAACCCTTTCTTCTTGAACATGGGTCTCTGTCTCCCTTGCCAGCCACTTTTGTAAACGACTTTGAGTTTGGAGCAGAGAGATAGCTACTGATGCCTTTGCTGGAGGCGATGCAGTTACCTACAGAGGGAATGGGCGTCATGGGCCACCCTCAAAAGTTACAGTCCTCTCCTATCTTGTCTAGAGCTCACTGGGCATGGCGGCCACAGTGGTGAAGTTGCTTTGTTGCCATGGTGACTTGTAAATGTTGCTATGGTGATGCTTCTATGAGGTGCTGCTATGACACAACCATGATAAATTATGGGATGTATGTGTTTTGTGTCATATGACCCTGCTGCAGGGAGCAAGTGTTAAACCTCAAACAACTCAGCCACGTTCACATCTGCCTAGATCGCGTGACCAAGGGTACATGGCTTCCCCATTTTAGAAGGGCCGAAAGTAACAGCAATGGTGGAGCCTAATGGTTAGCACCCTTACCTATCTCTGTCTATCCACCCATCTCCTTCACCCTCAAGGGTAACTTTTGTCGGTAGCAGTTAGAATAGCCCCAGTCAAGGAGGTCCAAGTCACAGTATACAGGAAGGTGGCATGGAGCCTCTCCTCCATAGCTGTCGGCTATATGTTTCTTGGGCGGTCAAGGTGGGTGTTCTTTGGGATTGTTACTGGCCACAGAAGGTCAACCTAGCATGAGGTTTGGGGGACCTTCAGTGAGGGGAATTGTAATCTTTGCCTTGAGAAGCTCTGGGGTTGGAGGAAGGAGGATGGGCCTAGTTTGGGAAAAGATGCTCTTGAGTGTGGAGAAGAAATCGGCTACACCACGTGTGGGCAGCTGTGACTTCGCCGAGCCTGAACGTAGCAATGGAGAGTTCCTGATACTAGTTCAGGACTATTCAGTGGATGGGGGCTATCCATAAGGTGAGCCACAGCCTCTCAGGCACAGGAGTGTCAGCGCTGGTTGAATGGGTAATGGCAGAGAGCAAGCTTGTGTGCCATACACTCCTTGTTCTCCCCCGCCAGCCTCCCTGGGAATGGGGGAGCAGGAGGTGTGGTGTGTGAAGGGAAGGTCCCCCCTCAGCTGGGCAGCTTTTCCCCTGTGGGAAGCCCCAGGGGAGACAGATGGTGAGCCCCCCCCACAGTGTCTCGTAGGGGTGCTCTTGTTCAACAAGGAACAGGGAGTTGAGGTCAGTCACTGCCCGCTGAAACCAGCCGGCAAAATAAATGATCACGTCTTCCAGGAGGTTTTCTGTGGAGAAAAGATGCCAGCAGTTTGGGCAAAAGGTTGGGTGGGTGAGATGTAAACTGATTTCACTGTTAGGAAGTTTACAGTAAGGGTGAGCACTTCAGTGGAAAACCTTCTCCTTGAGAAAGATGCCTTAGACAGGGTTGAGACTGTTACAAATACAGGTGGCTATGAGACTGGGAGTTCAAGTGTAAAATGTGGAAGTTGAATCTGAAACACGGGTTGAGAGATGCTTAATCTGGGGATGGGGGGGCCCATCTGATGTGAGAAAGGTGGCAAGGCAGTTCATTATGGGTGGGGCCCCACGCTGGCTAAGCTGTTGCCTGGTTGTGACCCAGGAAGGCATTGTGACATCACCCAGTCAACCTCTACTTTCAAAGCACCTACTATACCTAAAGGGAAGAGGGAGTACACTTTAAAAGTTTAAAAGTACACTTTTAAGATTACACACAGTGCTTCTTAAACCATTTTTACGTTTTTACACTGGATCCCCCTCTCCCACAGGGTTTTTGGGAAGGGGGAGGGGTGACTGGACCAGGGAATCAAATGGTATACCTAGGGAAGTTCACATCTTAAAATTTCATAAATATCGGGGCTAAAATTCAAGCTGGTCTAGGGGCCTTAGCATCCTTTTGTAAGTAATTTCTCCAGCCTTTCCCTTTGCCGTGCTAAGCCTGTGTTTATGAAGCCCACCCCGGGAGGCAGCTTGTAGTAATATTCCCACTTTACAACTGAGGGGGGCCAAGCTGTAAAGTGGCGCTGTTACTGCCAGAGCGGTTAAGAGGGTCACAGAGCAGCTCAAGTGACAACCTGCAGCCCGCCCTCTTAGCATCTCCAGGCCAAGCCAAGTGTGGTGGCCATATTGTTGGCATGGTCTAGCATAGACCGGAGGTTTTGGCAGCCTGTGTGTTTTCTCCTGCTGCTGCTGCAACAGAAGACTCACCCTGGCCGTGCTTTTGGGTGTCCACTCAGTGCCAGGTGTACCTACAGAGACCTGGGGTGGTATTCCCTGGAAGGGGCTTGGGTGCCAAGACCCAGCCATTCCAGTCCATATGGTGAGTGAGGACAGGGAGGAATGGCTGGGGAGACTCTGCCATTCCTTTGTGAGAATAGATGCAGCCTGTCTGTCCCTCCTTGGGGCATCCTTGAAGAGGGGGTGAATAGGTCCTTCCACCATTGAAAGCGCAGGCTCGCCAAAGCCAGAGTGAAGCTCACCCCCACAGCTGACTGCCACTAACCACTGGGAATGCCACCAAGAGAAGCTGATGAGGGTATGAGTGGGGCTGGTCATGAGTGGGAGTGACATTTGAAGTGGGCTGGGGAGAGGAGGGCTGGGGTCACATGAGATGTATACCACTTCATCTAGAAGCTGACTTGTGCCACTCAGCTCAGTGTTACCAAGATCCTGGACTCATACCCCTGATGATGTGCAGGGTCATTTTAGTGGGCCAAGGGCAAACACCTTAACCTTACAGTGGTCATTTAGTAGTTACTGTGTATATTTTATTGTGTATTAGAGAAGTTGTGACCAGCAAAGCAGTAAATGAGCTATTTCATGGGATTAGAGCAAAAGTAGGAAGTGATGTTGGGCTGAGATGATTCAAGGAAAAGCCCCACCGTGATGCTAGGCTGAGCCTGGGGTGCTGGAATGAGCAGTTTTGCAAGCGTGGGCCTGGTGTAGAAAAGACACCTGCCAATGAAGGGGATGGCGTCTTGTCTGTAGATGCTTGCATGTGAAGGCAGGCGTGAAGAGGAAGAATGCCAGCCGAGGTGACCAGTGTCCCCGTGGGGTTCCCCCTATCTTGGACAGGAAATGGAAGCAGACCTTTGATTTAAGTGATAAGGTTTTCCCTCCACATGTGTGCAGCCATCAGATTGAGTTCTTTGAAGTTGACTCTGAACTTTGGAAACCTTGCCTTTGGCCATACCAGGCCTCTCTTCCCAGCACCCTGGGTCTGCCTGGATTCCCTGCTTCCCTCTGCCCATCTTGCAGGCAGTAGACGTGGCCTGGAGTGTAGGCCCAGAGGCCCTCCAGGAGAGATAGTCACTTCTTCCCGTCAAGGATCTAGGCTTGCTTTTGAGAGTTCTGTCTCCCGTCCCTCTTTCTTCATCATGTCTCCTGTTGGCCTAGGTGAATATTGGTGTTATCCCTTCTGTAGATGAGATTTTTGGGGATGTTTGGTCTCTTCCGTTTATTTCAAAATAATGACCTCAGCAAATTTAGGTCAGCCCAGCCTTGGTTGGATCTTGCTGCTGAAAGAGAGGACTACAGTGCTTTAAAAAAGGATAATGTTGATACCTCATTTCCTTTCTTGGTTCCCTCATACCCCTAACTGTAAAAAGGTAGGAGAAAGTTACGAGTATGGTCTATGCTTTACTTTTTGCTTTACTTGCCCGTTGTCTTCAGTGTGCCCTTATTTTGGAAAGTTCTAGTTTGAGGGTTTTGTGCTAACAATGTGTGAGGACCCCAGTCTCCAAAGAAGGGTCTATCAATAGCAGATTACCTTGGGCATGGTGGTCCCACCTGCTCCCTGAATCCTGCCTTCTCGTGGTGGCCTTTGGACCCTCACTTAAGTATTCTTGTCTCCCTTCCTCCTAGGCGATGACTATAGTGCCGGAAACAAACACCATGATCCCTTTGAAGCCCCAGAGGACAAAGATCTTCCAGTGGAGAAGTACTTTGTGGAGAGGCAGGCTGTGAGCGAGCCACCCACAGACCAGGTGGCTGCGGACATGCCACACAGCCCCACCCTCCGGCTGGAAAGGAAACGCAAAGTCTCAGGTGACAGCAGCCACACTGAGACCACTGCGGAGGAGCAGCCAGAGGACCCTCTGCTGAAAGCCAAGCGAAGACGAGTCTCCAAAGGTGAGCTCGGTTGGCTTCAGCTGCCTGCTCGCGGGGGGCTTGTGCATGTGGCCTCGGTGGATGGACAGGAGGTGTGGATGTGCGGCGCGCTGCCCCGTAGACAGAGTCGGTGAGGGGAAGCTGTGGGGCGCAGCAGTGGGGCGTTTCCATTCCCACACCGCCTCCATGAGATCCCCACCCTGGAGCCCTGGGGAAGGCGCTCACACCTCCCCTCCCCACAAAGCCAGATGCAGGCGCTCAAGCCCAGGGATGGCCAAAGACAAATAGGCCCCCTCCCAAGACGTGCTCAAGCAGAGACAGTGACCGTATCCCTCCCCCTCACCCCACCCCATTAGTGATGCGTAAGACAGTTTGTTCCCCCCAGGGGGCTTTTTGATTAATTTGTAGTTATTTCTCCATTAGATGACTGGCCTGAGAGGGAAATGACAAACAATTCCTCTAACCACTTAGAAGACCCACATTATAGTGAGCTGACCAACCTGAAGGTGTGCATTGAATTAACAGGGCTCCATCCTAAAAAACAACGCCACTTGCTGCACCTTAGAGAACGGTGGGAGCAGCAGGTGTCGGCAGCAGAGAGCAAACCTGGCCGGCAAAGCAGAAAGGAAGTGACCCAGGCGGTTCAGCCTGAGGTTACTACCCAGGGGAATAACATCACCGAAGAGAAACCTGGCAGGAAAAGGGCAGAGGCCAAAGGCAACAGAAGCTGGTCAGAAGAGTCGCTCAAATCCAGTGATAATGAACAAGGTACATGGAGGCCACCCCTTGACTGCCTGCCCCCCTCCTGGAGGGTGGGTCATCTACTCGCTGTAGGAAAGGGCCTTTGAGGGGACCTTAGGCCACGCTGCCTCTGACTAGGATGTGGCAGGCAGGGGGTTCTCTCATGATGTCCTTGCCTGCGGCTGAGCAGGAAGGAAAGCCTGGGTGGCCCTGGGCCCCTGCCAGCACCCTCATTCGAGCCTTGGGCTATCTCCAATCACTGAGTCTTGAGCACCCAGGCTGGCCATCCTTGGGAAGGCCCTTATGCTGAGGCCCAGTGGGTGGGGGTGGGAGAGCAGGAAGAGCAGGCTTCTGTCCTCTTGTCTGGGCCTTTTGAAGAAACTTGCCACTTGGCGATTTGTGGGTTAACCTATTTGCCATTTGAATGTGGGATAATTAAAATATTAATGCTTTGAAAACATAATTGGTATATCTTTAAAAACTGAAGCCGCTCCAGTGATCAGTGTTAACAATGGGCTTTTCTTTCTGCACCGGCTACAACTGTGTAACGCCTGCTTCTTCTCCCCCTCCCTCTTGCCCGCCCGCCACCCCCTCCGTATTTAGGCTTGCCTGTGTTCTCCGGCTCTCCGCCCATGAAGAGTCTTTCATCCACCAATGCAGGCGGCAAAAAGCAAACTCAGCCAAGCTGCACACCAGCCTCGAGGCCGCCTGCCAAACAGCAAAAAATTAAAGAAAGCCAGAAGACAGATGTGCTGTGCACAGATGAAGAAGAGGATTGCCAGGCGGCCTCCCTGCCACAGAAATACACCGACAACAGCGAGAAGCCATCCGGGAAGAGACTGTGCAAAACCAAGCATTTGATACCTCAGGAGCCCAGGCGGGGGCTGTCACTGACGGGGGACTACTACGTGGAAAATGCTGACGGCAAGGTACCTCCTGACCCCTGCTCCCCGCAGGCCTGTGCAAGCACATGCCCCCTCCCCACTTCTCTGCTTCTTGGGGACAAAGCTTTCCTTTTTTTGGACTCTTCCGCCACACCACATATCACCCCCCTGTGCTAGAAGGGCATGTCTTCTGGGTGGCAGCAAAGTTTCAAACTAGTAAGAATGAAACCTCTTTCCCCAACTCTCCTTGACAGCCCTTCCCCCAGCCCCACAAAGAAAGACAAGGGGAAAAGTGCCTTCCTGCATGCAGGCTGGTCACGCAGGGAGGAGGGGAAGCAGTGGTATTGGAAAGACACAGCCTGAACTATGCGCACTACCTGGTTTTGTGATAGGTGACTGTCCGGAGATTCAGAAAGCGGCCTGAGCCCAGTTCGGACTATGATCTGTCACCAGCCAAGCAGGAGCCAAAGCCCTTCGACCGCTTGCAACAACTGCTACCAGCTTCCCAGTCCACGCAGCTGCCACGCTCAAGTTCCCCTCAAGAGACCACCCAGTCTCGCCCGATGCCGCCGGAAGCACGGAGACTTATTGTCAATAAAAACGCTGGCGAGACCCTCCTGCAGCGGGCAGCCAGGCTTGGCTATGAGGTGAGTGTCCCTGTGGGTGCTCCTGGAGTGTCCATGTGAGTGTCCCTGTGGCTATGCCAGGTTGGGGGGCGAGGCACAAAGTGGGGGGGTTAGGGGAGGGACTTGGAGAGCAGGGCCCAGCCCCCTCCACATCAGGGGGCTGGGCCGGTGTTCCAGCAGGGTGTTTGTGTTAGCCACACTCTTCGCTGCTGTCTCTTTGGTGGCTTGTTCAATCGTGGTGTGAAAAGAAAGGCCTCTCTGATGTTCACTTCGTGTTCAGGCAGGTAGGCTGCTTCGGCATCCTCCAGTCTCGTTCACTTATGTCTGATATAAAATCTGATATAACCCAGGGCTTGGCGACTGGGGGAATTTTAATGAACCCTTTTGGATTCTGATTAGCAAGGGGGAGAGAAGTTATGAGCTCTATCTGACGTTGCCGGTTCTGTTGCGGGTGGAGGGGTGGCCCTGTGCGGGGCGGGTGCAGGTGTGCACTGAGGTGGGGGGTGGGGCAGACCTGAGTGGTCTCTTTCCGATAAAGGGCAGGGTGGCCCTGAGGCTGAAGGTCGGAGGAGGGACACAGACTCAGGCTTTTCCCCAAACTTGCTGGCTGCCCCCTTGCTGGTTCCCCCTCCCAGCATGGTGAATGACAGTGACAGTTTATTGGCTGAGCACTCTGCCGTGTACTCATTCTAAGCTCATGATCTGGAGTAACTCATTTTACCCTTTCATTGTCTTTGTGTGGTAGTAACTGGTATTATTCCTGCTTTCAGATGAGGAAACTGAGTCCCAGGGGGGTTCAATGACTTGGAAAGATAACAATCCAGCAGCCTGGCTCCAAAGCCCAGTTATCCCCCCAACCCCCCGAACCCCCTTCTCTCCAGGATTGGCTCACGTTGCAATTGCCCTTTTTATATAGCTCCAAACCTCCTTGAGATAGATTTCTCCCTCTGCCCCTGTGCATCTCCCCCACCACACTGTTGTCAGTTGAAATTGTGATGTAATAGCCCACAGGGCAAAGGCATTTTTTTATGCTGGCATCAGCCCTCTGGGAGTTGAATGGTGAAAATAAAATGTGGCTGGGCAAGCTGAGCGTGGAGGCGTGGTGGAGCACCGAGGTGGCAGGATCCATGCTGGCTCTCGCTCGGCTGTGAGCTCCCAGGATTTGGCCAGAACCCTGGCTCGCACAATTTGACCCTGCTGCTGTCCTTTAAGCCTTGAGCCCTTCCTGGTGGGACCACCCAGCTTTGGTCTCTCATTGACCCAGACCCCACCCCTGAGGCATGACTGTGGAAAGGAACTTGGAAGTTTGCTCACACCTGTGGGATGGTCCTTTGTAGCACTAGCGGGGCATTTTAGGTTGTATGTGTCATTGTTTTTGTTTTTTCGTACCAACATATCTCTTTTTGACGTCTCTGGTTTATGGCGGGGAGAACTCTCTGGAAGGATTTGATAATTAGCTCAGTTACTTGCGGATTAAATCCAAGGAGCAGCCAGTTGGTTTCCCACAAACTGAGAGCAGCAGCACCTAGCAGGACAGGATAGATGCAGCATGCCAAGCAGGGCTACTCATTCCTGATCACGGATGAGAAAATAGACTTGTGCTTCCAACAAATGCCAGAGATGACAGAGGCAGGAGGGCAGCGTGCTCCGCTGGCTGTAGAGGGCAAGGTTCCTGGCCTGGTCTTTCATTTTGGCATACTTCCACCAGTCTCACCCCTTTGGGACCAGAAACTTCAGGAGATTCTTGGAGACTCTTGCAGGTCCTCCAAGAAGCCTTGGGAATGTTTTTGTAAGAACAACTTTTTCTCCCCTTCAAATGATGTAAATTTCATAGGCCATCAGTTTTGATGCTGAATGTTTTAATTACTAGATGAAAGCTTTCAACTTTGAATCCAACTTTCTGGGATTTCTTTAAGAAAATTTAAAATGTTGGTAGGCCATTAAGATATGGCGGTTTAAACCTTTTAAAGTGGACGGATAATTTGCTTAACCCAGGTAAAATGCAGTTTGAATGCACAATTTTGGGAGGGTTTTCCTGAAGTTAGTCTTTACCATTGTTGTTTTCTGCTTAGCTAAAGATAACATATGCAATGAAAAAGGCTGTCTGAGCTTTGTTTTGTGGTAATCTGGTTCTTGAGGTTTAGAAACACGCTCTCTCTTAAGATCTATATTAGACCACCTGAAATGAAAGGCTTAGATACATGCAAACCTTTCCCTCTCGGTAAAGAGGCTTCTGTTTCTTAGGTTCAAATGCCAGTGTGGAACCACATGCTTGCACGTTTAGTGGTGATGGTTAAATTTTCTATGAATTGAATAAATCATGTTTTTAAAAAAGTTAATGAGGCATTTAATTAATTAACAATGTCGGGTTTATGGCCTTTATGGTTACATTTTGCAGTTAATGGCATTCAGCTTATAGCCGCTTAACAGAGAATTGTCCAACAAAAACAGTTTGATTTTGTTTGGGAATAGGCGGGCTGCCCTTCAAACACTCCCATTTCTAGCATAGAAAATAAACCAAGAAATGTATTGGGTAGACAGACTTTTCTGGCCTCTTCTCTCTGTTGGTGACAGCAGTTGCCACCCACTTAAGAGGCCATCACCCTCCTCGCTAGGAGAGTGTCATTAGCCTGCTTTATCCCAACAGACAGGACCCGAGGGATGCTGGTCACGGCTGGACTGCAGCTCCTTAGCCTGGGCCCTTCATTGGCTCTTTGGAATCTTCCCAGCAGACCAGGTACCAAAAGACCTGAGTTATAGGCCTCGTACTTCATGTTCATTGAGCTTGGGATTTAACCTCTCTGGGCATCAACTTCCCCAAGTGTTGAATAAGAATGGTACTACTTTCTTTTCCTAATATCTCATAGGTCACTGTGGGATAACATAAGACCTACACATTTGGCGAAGTGAGAAGTACCATGGTAGCCATGGCAGAAAGCCTGATCTGCTTGTCAGATCACTACTGCCTTGCCTGCCGTCCTTGAGGCAAAGAGAGTTGACTTACCCTTCAGCTTCGACATCTTTCATTTCTAGGTTCCCTCAAATCAGCCCTACTAGCTACGAAGGTTTCCAGGTGAAGGCCGTAATTGTCAGAGCAAACAAACCCTGGGTTGATAGGACACCAGGCAGGCCGCCGGGATCCGGGTAAATTGATCTGTGCACAGCAGTCGGTGGTGCTTAGAGCTGATCCCAGAGTCACGTGATGGGGCCTCTCCCTGGCTGGGGCACACAACTCATTAGCTTACAGCCATCCACTCGAGTCTGGCTAGTGAGGGCCTGCAAAAAGAGCAGCAGCTTCATGCGGTATCCTGGATACCAGTGCTTAGGGCAGGTGGCCTGGGAGCTCTGAGGATTGTGGGCTTTCTGGCAGGTTAGGACCTGAAGGAAGAAACGCTCTGTGGGCATGCCTTCTCTCTTCCTCCCCTTATTTTGGAAGGGAGCTACTGCAATGACCTGAAGCAACAGGGCACGGATGGCCAGGTTTACCCGTGTGTACCCTTAGATTTGCAGGGGGAACATATGGAACATTCTAGTTAGCACCCAATTGAGTGATCACCTTTGACTGAGGTGTCCTATAAAGGGCATAAAAGGTTTTTCAGAACTCACCTCACGTTTATGGGTGGCTACAATGCTGTTTATTTCAGGTTTAATAGATGAGTTATTTAAGAGTTGTCAGGAAGGGAGGCCCAATGTGACCCGTCCAGCTCCCCCTTACTAAGTGGCCCATGTGCTGGGCCACCCACACGCTCTGCCTCCCTCCAGTTCTTAGACCCTGACAGCCCTTTGCTGGGCACGGCTTATAGGAAAACAGGGTAACCTGTTTTCTGGTGGCAGATACAGTTCTATGTGTTTGAAAACTTTCTTAATCAAGGTAATAAAACATTGAATAAATTACTGCTCTACTTACTGGGAGTGGTTCATAGCAATATTTTAACACGCCAAAGAAGTAAGATAAATAACACTGATTCTCATGCAAACTGTTGACACAAAACACGTTCTGCAAAGGGGGAAGGGTAGGCTTATCTTACTTCGTTCTGGAAATGTGTAGGTTGTAGTATGTGGTGTATCAGATTCCTGTCATTAACTTAAGTAAATATGAAAATATTATATTGATTCAGCCCCAAGTGGGGTGGAGAGTGAAGCAAAACGAGGGTGGGGTTATTTGAAATATTTATGTGATTTCTTGATGATATACATGGTACATTGAAAGAGCTTTCTCTTGAGCTCTACTTCTACAACAGAAGCATGGCCACCCCAGCTCTGACCCCTGGTCTTCACAAAGGGCGTGAGGACCAGCCTAAACTGGACATCCTTCCCTCACTTAAGTTGAGAAATGTTCTCCAGCTCATTTAATTTCTTGTTATGCATCGGTTGTTCTTGCTTTTATCTAAACTTGTGTTGTCATCCACTATTACCTATTGAATGGACCGATTGAGTAGAATGCTCTTCGTACTTATTAATGCATCGTTTGAAATACTAGCAGTTGGATCCCTCTGTGCTCATGATGCAAGGCACTGGGCTAAGGGCTTTTGTGAGTCTCTAATTGCATCTTCTCAACAGCCTATGTAGGTGCTGTTATTCTCCCCCAGCAGAGGAGATGGAGGCTTTGGAGAAGTTAAAGCATAACTCACCTAGAGCCAGACAGCTGGAGCAACAAGAACCTTAAGGGACACTGTCTCTGTCATCAAGCCCTTTGTAAATGCATTTGCCCCTCATCAAGATATCCACAGCCTGCCTGAGCGGGGTTCTTAGGCCTAGGAACGTATGTCTTTGAGAACTAGAGAGAGCTCCCCCTTATAAGGTCATTATGCAGTGATCTGATGGCATTCCTCCCCCTCCCCGCAGGAAGTGGTCTTGTACTGCCTGGAGAACAAGATTTGTGACGTGAACCATCGAGACAACGCAGGTTACTGTGCCCTACATGAAGCTTGTGCTAGAGGATGGCTCAACATCGTGCGACACCTCCTTGAATATGGCGCTGATGTCAACTGCAGTGCCCAGGATGGAACCAGGTCAGTGGTGTGTCTTGCTCTCAGCCTGGCCCTGCTGGGGCACCGGCAGTGGTTCTCAGGGTATGTGGGAAACCCCAGGAGGAAAGACCGAGAGTGACATGTAAGCACATTGGTGGCTGAGTCCTCTATAATTGAATCCAGCAGACCTTTCTGGCAAATGTAGATATAAAGCTCCCAATCTTGGCCAGTCCTGTAATGCTCCTATGGACCAAAGCCTCTGAAAATATCTGCTTGCTTGAGTAAGTGGGAATAATTATAATGAATAATTAAGATCCTGGACTCTTAATCACCATCTGTGAAATCACTATGTTTAAAATATATGTGAGTTGAAAATCCCAGGAGTACAGGCAGAAGACCTGCTGTCACCACCCACATCCCCAGCCATGGCCCTCACCCTGTCCTTGACCCTGGTTTATTGGTCAGAGACCCAGGTCTGAGGCAGCCCGAGCATCTTCCTGGTTGTGTGAGTGGGATGCTGCCAGGAGGCAGGGTACGGGGTTTTCCTGACAGTGATAAAACTAGCCAAACAGAAATGTATTTGGTCTTTCACACTTTCTAAATAGCATTCCCTGCCCCCTGTGGACACAGGTGGGGGGCCTCTGTGCCCTCCTGAGAACACACCCCATTGGACCCTCTTTATTCTCACTGCTGTTCCCTCAGCTTTAAAGGGTTAGGTATCAAAGTAGCACAATAAGTTGTCGTTTGACCTTGAGCTAGTCACTATATCTAAGTTTCCCTATCTGTGTGGTGGTGGTGATAGTGCATACCTCCTGGATGAAATATTGCACCTAAGAGGCTCAGTACACGAGGTACACATGTACCCAGATTGGCCTGTTGGCATTACAGGAGACGACTCGGAAAGCAAGCATCGTGTGCGTGAGCTTAACCCCACTGCGCGTCTCTCCCTAGGCCACTGCATGATGCTGTTGAGAACGATCACTTGGAAATTGTCCGCTTGCTCCTTTCCTATGGTGCTGACCCCACTTTGGCTACGTACTCAGGTAGAACCATCATGAAGATGACCCACAGTGAACTTATGGAAAAGTTTTTAACAGGTACGATAAAGTTCAAAAAATGGTCTTATTCAAAAATTAGATGGTAACTAGGTGCTTTCGATTTGGATTGGACTAGGCAGAAATCAAAAAGGCTGGAATTTTGAAGCTTTGAAGGAGAGTAGCCGGGTCTTTGGCCTTTTGTGTGGTGTAACTTTATGCTAGTGAAGCTAAGTCATTTATTCACCCTAATGTTTTAAAAGATTTACTAAAGTTATTTGCATTTTCTACAAATGCATTTTTAACTTAAGTATGTCTCATAGGTTTACATCTCAAGTCTGGGTGAAATGAGTCAGACCTCCCATACATGAAACTATTTGGGTAGGTCTGTGGTATTCCATCATCGGATAACCCATCATTTAAGCCCCAGGCATTACAAGATCCCTAAAGCAGAAGCACAAGGTTTTCCTGAGGGTCAGGTACCTGCAGTTATACTCCTTATCAGACACTGCCAAAGAATGCCACTAACTCACTCGTGACCCATCCTCGTTTACTTTAAGTTGCACTTACTGGGAAAGAGATACGTAAGCACAATGCTACTTTATTTTTGCGTATGAAGACTTGCCTTCTTAGCTTGCCAGTCTAGCTTTCATTTTGGTGAGAGGGTATTCTGTCTTTCAGGAAGGCAAGTGAGCAGGTATGTAGGTTTCAGTCAGTTAGGTAAGGCAGAGAACAGGGTTTTGGCGAATTGTATTGATGATGTGCAGAAAGGAGAAGATGGGAAGTGACATGCCAGCCTGTCATGAATTTTATAGGAAAAATGCCCCCTAACTCTGCCATCATTTTGTTCTCACCAGTAGGTTTTATCTTTTTTTTTTCCTTTCTCCAGATTATTTAAATGACCTACAAGGTCGCAGTGATGATGACTCCGGTGGCTCTTGGGAGTTCTATGGCAGCTCTGTGTGTGGTGAGCAGTGTTGTTCTCTTTAGCTCAGTGGGAAATGAATAGATTTGAGTACATTTCTCTCTGGTGTGGGTGAGGGGAGGCAGGTGGTGGACTCTGGAAGCAGCACTCAGTTGGGAAGAATCTTGATATTTAGAGTCCCCCTTTTTCTTGACAGCAGCTGAAATCTTTCTATAGCTTACCGATCCCTTTTTCTCTTATTTGCCCTCCATTAGAACCCGATGATGAAAGTGGCTTTGATGTTTTAGCAAACCCCCCAGGACCGGAAGACCAGGATGATGATGACGATTCCTATAGTGATGTGTTTGAATTTGAATTTTCAGAAAGCCCCCTTTTACCGTGCTACAACATCCAAGTATCTGTCGCTCAGGGGTGAGCATGGCTACCATGTGGTCAGAAACTAGCTGAGCTGCTCTTGGAGTGGCACGAGTTAGAGATCCCCCTTAAGTAGATGAGGGTGGGTGAGTGAGTGAATTCCTTAAGTGTCCGCGAGCCTCACATAATGCAGGAGATCTTTTCCAGAAAGGGTATGCATCAGCTTAATTATACCCAGCAGAGTGGAGGGGTGGGGCATCAGAACACCAAGGCTTACATCACTCTCCAGAGCCCAAAGGGAATTGAAGTCTGTGACCAGAATTTCACAGAAAGGTCACCATCTTCAGTACCTAAATACTTTGGGTAGGGGTCCTCCCTAGGAGTCTCCCCAACAGGCCAATGTAGGGGCCTTCCAGGTGTTTGAGGTGTACTAGACTATACTGATATATCTCCTTCTCATTTAAGATTAGGACAGTCATTACACATGACACTTGGGATCTTGGTGTGTCATCAGATTTGCTTAGATCAAGTCTTGCCCATATGGTCAGGCTACTGTACCCCAGTGACCAGTCACTTTGGGTGTACTTGTCAAGAGACTGCACTCTGCCATGTGTTAACAAAGGTGCTGAATGAGTAACGTGCTCCTCAAGCTCTGAAGCTATAAACATGTATGCCATTACAAACAGTAGTGGAAATCATAAAGTGTAGTAGGGCATATGCAAGGTATATAAAACCTGCCTTCTTTCACAGTTGTTACTCCTGAAAGAATGGAGGGATGGGGGTGGAGATGCCTGAAAGGAAAGGAGAGACAGCCTTCTGTGTTTATAATGCTCTGTTAGTGTCTGAAGAGGGGAGAGATCCGAGAGGTTGAGATACAGACTTGTTTGCCCCAGTGACTGTAGCAGGGCACTTGGAGAGGTGCAACCCAAGTTGTGGCCAGAGCAGAATGAGCAGGACTTTACCATCAGCAAGGGAAGCAGTGAGGCTCATTCAGATGGTCCTCCCTGGATGTTCTCTTAATAAAGCCAGATGAGTCCAGAGTTTCTACAGCTAGAGGTAGATACTCTCCCTCACCTTAGAAGGAAAGGGTGGTCAGAGAGTAGGTGTGTATGGTGAGAAATAGGGAAGGAGGGACAAAGCGAAAGTAATTGGCCCTTGTTACCTGACCTAGGGACTGGTCTAGTCAGGATGTGGTAGTCGATGGGAGCACTTCTCATTTTGCTAGAAACTCAAACCATTTTCCTTTCTATATTTTAGGCCACGAAACTGGCTACTACTTTCAGATGTGCTTAAGAAATTAAAAATGTCCTCCCGTATATTCCGCTGCAATTTTCCAAATGTGGAAATTGTCACCATTGCAGAGGCGGAGTTTTATCGGCAGGTTTCAGCAAGTCTTTTGTTCTCTTGCTCCAAAGACCTGGAAGCCTTCAACCCTGAAAGCAAGGAGCTGTTAGATCTGGTGGAATTCACGAGTGAGCTTCAGACTCTGCTGGGCTCCTCTGTAGAGTGGCTCCACCCCAACGACGCAGTCTCGGACGACTACTGGTGAGCACGCCAGACCCGCCGTGTACAGTGTGTTATAGTGTTAATCCTTGTGCATATGTGTCATAATACGACTATTTCTGTAAAGAAAGGACACTATTACATATGAAAATATCTCTTCTTTATATAAGAGAAATTACTCCAGTCAGAAGGACTTAGAAACATGTTTTTTTCTTTTTAAACTTTTAAGTCAGTTTTTATGAAGTTGTTATAATGTTTCTTTACATTTCGATGCACACATGCTTTGGGATATGTTTGTTTTTACTTGGAACATTTATTTCTTTTCTTTTTTAAGGAGAAAAAAATGAGGAAAAGGAGCTCTACACTTTGACTTAATTTCATACAAAGCTCTGATGACAGAGGCCATTAACTGTGTAAAGTGTGGCCAGAACCATGTGGTTGGTTTGGGGGAGTGAGAATTTGGTGAAGGCACTTGGTGATGTTGTAACTTTATGTTTTGTTTACAGAGTACCTGCTCGGGCCAGGTAAATGCTATTGGATGTAATCCAGTAGTGTGTAATATAAATTCAAACCATATCCACACACAACAACTAATTGTATGAAACTTTTATATCCTAATTTAAAAGCTGTGAAATTAGTTTTCACGCATCAAACCGGATTGTTTATATGTTTAAACATTTTATGCTCTTATTTAAAGAAGACTTTGAGCTATTTTTTTCTGTACCCTGTAAAATATTGAAAACTAACATAATATGTTGAGGTTGCTTGGAAATGTACATAAAACTAAAATTTTCTGAATTGTGTGTTTATGTTTGAAATCTGTGTTTTAACTTTGTAAGTAAATTCTCTGCCTTTGTATTTATATTTTACAAAAATTTTCTTAAAAGGCAATAAACCTGTTGAGGAAAGGAGAAAAGTGAAGTACCTTGCATCCTATGTATTCCTAAAGCATTATTGTTGTCACTGATTCTTTTCAAGTGGTGTTGATAATCTATTCCCTATAGATGACTTCAGAGCAAATTATAGTCTCTGTAAACCAAACCAGACTGGAGGATTTTGGAGGAATTATACTCAATATGATTTGGAGTCCTATTCTGAAAGCCCAATTCTTGGACATATATTTTCCTGTGTCATATCTTCTTGCCTGTCTCCTTTGATGCCCTGGCAGGCTTTTGCATTGCCCTTAGCATTGACCTACTACAGTCCTACAGAATGATCAACGCTTTATCTTTAGGAGTATGTTGTGTCACTTCTCCACACCTCCTATTTTTCTGGTTACCTTTAGGATCAAGTCTAAGCTTGCTTTGCCTGATAGGTGGGGCCTGTAGCTTCGACCTCTCCACTGCTCTTAACTATTTCCAGCAGTACCTGCATTGGGCACTGTCAGTTGGCACTTGATTTTCATCTTGCATCCTTTTATGCCTGTCCTTCACTACAGATGGTAGAAAGCTAAAAACTACTTGACTCCCTTGCAGCTAGCTTTCTGTGTGCATATTTGTTTTGGAAGTCAGCAGGAGGTAGAGGCACCTTCCTACTACAGTGGCTGCTGATAAAAAAGTTTGGGGAGACATGCTAGCCAGTTAGAGTGACATTCCAGTATCTGGTCAACATTCCAGTATCTGGTCTTCAGCTTTGTGGGTGATGAGATGCAGTAGTGGTTGTGGCCCTGGCAGCTTTCTACTCCTTGAATGACAACCTCAGCAGATTGTTCTTGAATCCCATGGCTCCAGAGTTGTCCCATTCTTCCAGCCCCTCCAGAGACCTTGTGAGTCATTGTGTCAAATCCATTTGTGCTCAGAATGAATGCCCTGAGTGCTTCCCAATCCTGCGTTGAACACTGGGAGTGCCAAGACAGAGGGAAGAGGCCATGGGGATGCCATATTTGAGTATGCAGACAGAGAGGGAAGGCAGATGAGGAAGGGGCCAGCAAACACTGTGGCCTAACAGGAAAAACAAGGCATGGTTGGCAATGAGGAAATTCAGCCTGGTCAGACAGCTCCGTGTGAGAAGCGTGAAGCCTGAGAGCCCTTTGTTGAGGAAGACTGGGTACCAAATGTATTTTGGAATGTATCCTGAAGACCAAAGGCAGCTGACAAGTTTTTTTTTAATGTATTAATTTTTTATTATAAGAAAAAACTTTCATTGTAGAAAGAAAGAAAGGAAAGAAACAACCCAAGCATGTCAGAAATAGAGAAGGTTCCCATCATCCCATGCCAACACCCCCTCCCCTACTCCAAAGGTAACCACTGTTAATAGTTTAATGAATTTTTGTTTTTTAGGAAGTCACCTTAAACAGCAGGTGGGAGTGGTAAAATGAAAAAAGCAGATAGCAAGACCAGAAAAGCAGACCTGCAAACCGGGTGCGGTAGCTCACGCCTGTAATCCTAGCACTCTGGGAGGCCGAGGCGGGCGGATCGTTCTGAGTTCAGGAGTTCGAGACCAGCCTGAGCAAGAGCGAGACCCCCGTCTCTACTAAAAATAGAAAGAAATTAATCGGACAACTAAAAATATATATAGAAAAAATTAGCCGGGCACGGTGGCGCATGCCTGTAGTCCCAGCTACTTGGGAGGCTGAGGCAGGAGGATCGCTTGAGCCCAGGAGTTTGAGGTTGCTGTGAGCTAGGCTGACGCCACGGCACTCTAGCCTGGGCAAAAAGAGTGAGACTCTGTCTCAAAAAAAAAAAAAAAAAAAAAAAAAGTTAAAAAAACCCCCTTTTTTTTTCTTAAATAAAAACCCCCAAAACCCAAATTTAAAAAAAATAAAAACTCAAGGGCATTCGGCTCTTTGTATTTGTGCTGCAGACAAAGGGAGGGCCCGAGACCAACTGAGGTTTCTATCTTGCATGAAGGTCATTCTGTTAATTAAGCTAAGAAAACAAGAGAGCCACAGATTTAGCGGGGTGTGGGAGAGGTAATGAGCTTGGTTTAGGAGACATTTAAGGTTGTGGTTCATGCAGTTGAGGAGCTGGTAGACAGTTCGAAAGAAGATTTACTGCAAGACCCATTAGAGTGATTGAAAACATGGATATAGAAGAACTAGCCGGGGGCATATGGAGGTATAGATGAGACCACCATGGCTGAGAAAGGTTTGGGTGCAGAAGAACTCACCACCCTGCCTACGAACTCCCCACGGGTATAGGGGAGCTCACCATACAAGTAGAGAGGATCATGATACGGACCAGGTCACACTGAGGGGGAGAGGTGCTCACCGCCAGAGCACAGGGGAGCTGTGTGTTCAGGGGAACTCAGCATGAGTGGAAAAGAGCTCTCCACAGATGTGGAGCTATCGTGGTATAAGTGAGATGACCCTGGGTGTTGAAGAGCTCTCCACAGGTGAAGATGTTATCACAGGTGTAAGGGAGATCTGCTGGGGGTAGACGGCTCACCCTGGGGGTAAGGGAGCTCACCATGCGTGTAGAGGAGACCATAGGCCTGGATGAGAAACTCATGATGGGTTCAGAAGAACTGAGCAAGATTGTAGAATAGGCACTCATAGAGCAGATCTGCAAAGAGGCCCTCACTTTGGGTGTAAAGGAATTCACCATCGGTATAGAAGAATTCATCGGGGGTTCAACATGGGTGCAAAGGAGTTCATGGGGAGAGAGCTGAACTGGTTCATTCCACTCCTGAAGGTGTCCCTGAGGGTCAAGGGCATGCCCTTCTTTGCCCTGTCCTCCCTCTTCCTGGCTAGAATGTGGCTGTGACAGCTCCAGCTAGAGCAGCCACCTAGGACCATGAAGTATGGAGGTCAAACACTGCAGAACAACAAGTTTGAGGGAGCCTGGGTCGCTGAGGACCTAGTAGAACCAAGCTACCATATCAGCCCTGTCCTGCCTGCATTTATGTTTGAGAAAAATAAACTATTATGTTGAAGACATTGTTCTTTTGGGTTTTCCAACTACTCTAGGCAAGTCTAATCTTAATATGCATTCCCATCTGTGAACTTGGGCAGATTACTTACCCTCTCAGCCTTTTCCTGTTTTGTCAAAATTGACCTAATGGTTGTAATAGCAAAAAACTGATAACACCCAAATCTCCATCAGTTGGGCACTAGTTGAATTAACAATGGTATTTCCATACGGTGGAATACTATGCAACTGTAAAAAGAATTGAGGAATACTTCTAAATTGCTTTAACGTGATCTCCAGAGTATTATCATTAACTGAAAAAAAAACAGTTTGAGTTAAAGCATATACACGTATCTGCTTTATTTTAAAAATGAAATAAAAGCTAGTTCAAAAAATGGTTACCTTTGGGGATAGAGGGAACAAGTTACAAGGGAAAGGGATGAAAGCTTAGTTTCTCTGAATGTTCCCAGAGCAGAGATTTGACTTTACAGTTTACAAAATTACAAACCAAAAAGCAATACCTATAAATTGAAAAGTAAAACTGACCAGGCTTGGTGGCTCATGCCTGTAATCCTAGCACTTTGAGAGGCCAAGGCAGGAGGATGGTTTGAGGCCAGGTGTTTGAGACCAGCCTGGCCAACATAGTGAGACCCTTTCTCTGGAGAAAATTTAAAAAGTTAGCTGGGCGTGGGGGCATACACCTGTAGTCCCAGCTGCTTAGGAGGAGGCTGAGGCAGAAGGATCGCTTGAGCCCAGGAATTTGAGGTTGTAGTGAGCCATGATGACACCATTATACTCTAGCCCAGGCAACGGAGTGAGACATTGTCTCAAAAAATAAAGGCAAAACAAAATGAATAAATCTTATGTATTCAGTTGGTAGCACAACCAGACAGAGAGGAACTGTCTCAAGTGACTTTATTATTATTTTTTTGTTGTTGCCCTGGCTAGAGTGCAGTGGTACAATCATAGCTCACTGAAACCTTGAACTCCTGGGCTCAAGCAATCCTCCTGCCTAAGCCTCCCGAGTAGCTGGAACTACAGGCATGCGCCATCATGCCTGCCTAATTTTTTTATTTTTTATAGAGATGGGGTCTCTCTACGTTACCCAGACTGGTCTTGAACTCCTGGCCTCAAGCAATCTCTCTCAAAGTGCTGAGATTATAGGCATGAGCCACCCCATAAATTATTATTTATTCTATCACGGATTTACCCCAAGGACAGAAAGAACTGTGAAAACATTTTTACAGTTATTTTCGGTAATCCTATCTTTGGTGGTAATGTTGGTATTGTTACTCTGAGTCAGTCCTGTTTGTGTTGTGAAATAAAAAAATGTTCGTATTGTTGGCTGGGCACGGTGGCTCACGCCTGTAATACTAGCATTCTGGGAGGCCGAGGAGGGAGGATTGCTTGAGCCTGAGCAAGAGTGAGACCCCCGTCTCTACTAAAAATAGAAAGAAATTGGCCATACAACTAAAAATAGAAAAAATTAGCCGGGCATGGTGGCGCATGCCTGTAGTCCCAGCTACTTGGGAGGCTGAGGCAAGAGGATCGCTTGAGTCCAGGAGTTTGAGGTTGCTGTGAGCTAGGCTGACGCCACGGCACTCTAGCCCAGGGAAGAGAGTGAGACTCTGCCTCCAAAAAAAAAAAAAAAAAATTTTAACATGGGAGAAAGATGAACATATAGAATTGGTGAGGTTAAATAAAAATTTTGTAGCCCTGAACTTGAATTAGAAGTATCACTATGAACTCCTGATGATGTATTATATCTTAGAAAGATTTGTTCCCTAGCTCTGTCCACTGAAAAGACCTAGAAACAATGACTGATAAAAATGAGCACCACTAGCTCCCAGTCTGTGGTTTCTAAATACCTTTTCTCACTAAAAGCAACTGAGGTTCCTTTGAGCAATAGTTGATTCCAGTTTGGGGCAGGGGAGAATTGAGGGGAGGGGTATAGATATACACAATAAACCAGTGGGATTGTGTCAAAAAAATGCAGCAGCCAACCTGGAGAAGGCCCCACTGGATCAATAAGGGACACTTTGTGCATTAATGGGGATAACTGCACTGA